CTCTCCTTGTCTTAAGTTTTTCACATGTGCACGTGGAAGGGCAGAGAGGTCCCAGAACAGATCCATACCGCCAAATATCACATTCTGCATTTGGAAATAAGTTCTCTTTTGACAAAAGTGGTCCTGACTGAAGAGTAACATATGCATCATTTAAAGCAATAAACTGCCCTTATATGTTAACCTGTCGTAATTTCACAGCTAATTAACAATTTATCTGTTAATTGTACTTCGTTATGAATGAGGATTATTGATTAAATTAGTAAAATGCTGATCAGGGATTATTTTACTTTAAAAAACAACTCTTACCTGCAGGGTGAAGAATGCAAACTGGATCAGTCATGTTGTGCTGTTCCTGCTCTGAAGGCAATGAAGAAGAACGTCACTGATGCATACAGGAGGGGAGGATCCTAAAAAGTTAAACAGCCTGAAACGTTAAAAACGTGTTTGAACATGCAGGCAGACAACAAATGAAACTAATATTCAGAGACGTTGGAGAACCAGTGGAGAAATACACTCATTTCATTCACATCCACTCAAACTAATGTGTTTAGTTTATACTGGTAACAAGACAAATCAATAAAATAATCATTTAAAAACTTTATTATATTGCAATAATTAATGAAAAAATAAATAAAGTCTTTTATGTTTTCTCTCAATGGAATCCTTCATAGCTGCATTATCACAATATTACAGTAGTACATTCAATACAGGCAGTATTATCTCAACTGTATCAGGTAAAAGTAGCTGATAACTTCAGTAGCTGTTTGCTTGTGTTACATGTCAGTCTTCTGTGTCTTTATTTAATGTAGATCGACCAGCGTTTCTCAAACCTAATGAACAACAAAGCAACTTGTGTTAATTCATCTTTATTTCCATCATGTTTGTGAGTTAAAATGTATTTGACCTCAACAGATTATTCAACCAAAGTTCAGTTAGTTTGACTACAACACACTAATTTAACTTAACAAGTTTAACAAGTCAGACACGTTAGTGGAACCTTTCCTTTGTCTCGATATGTGTAAAGCAGTGAAAGTTGAGATTAGACTGGAGTAGCTCAGGTACTTAAGATCCTCTTAAAATGAAAGAAATACAGCTTTACATGTCTCTTAAGTATTTATTATTTATTTATTGTTCATTAATGTATTACATCACTCATTTGTTAACAAGGCAATACTATTATATCAAACACATTTACAGGATATGATACAGAATATGTCAAACAATTCTGATGTGATCAGGATTTCTGTTCCAGCTTTATTATCTGATAATGAGTTAGTACCAGGCAGTAGCAGCACTGTCTGTACAGTCTGCACTGACTTCCTGACAGACTCTGCTCTCTTTCCAGGCAATCAGTCGACGCAGGGCGGTGGGACTGGCCGACACCACATCAGCGCTGTATTTCAGGATCAGGGAGTGAGCGCGAGCGTTGGCCACCAACACCTGAGACAGCCACAGACAGACAGACAGACAGACAGACAGACCACCTGTAGTTCAGTGCATTGTATCCAGATTGAACACGCTCTGTACTCTCTACTGTTCGTCACAGAAAGCTGCACAACAAGTGTAGAGACGTGTACAGGAAGCAGTGACGGTCCTCTACCAGCTACTAGCAGTGAGACAGTCCCAGTACAGACAGACAGACAGTTTACATTGTACCTGTGTCTTCTGCAGCAGAGCCACATCTCCCAGTTTACAGGCAACTTCATAACCCTGCAGGAAGAACTCTATGCTCTCTTATACTGACTCTACAGAGGGAGAGAGAGAGAGTTGTATAATAATATTGTTAATATTACACAATTAAGTGCTATAAACAAAAACACTCAGTAAAGGATGTCAGCATTAATGACACATATTGCATTCACTTGAATTAATGAGAAACCTCCATGATGCTGTACGAATTACAGGAACATTGATCCACAATGTTGAATTTCTACTTAAATACATATTACTTTGATGATGTGTGCAGAGATAAATATTGAAACTTATTGATCAGGTTAAGCTATAAATTGATGGTATAATAAATAGATATATTTGTTTAAAAGGAATTTTGCTATTTTCTATATGCAATTTTATTACATTTACACACATTCATTGTTGTCCAAAAACTGTTGGTGACCCATTTTCAATGACTGATATCTTCAGTAGGAACTTGGTGCTGAGAGCCACTGACAGGAAATCAGGAAGTACTGAGAGACTAGTTCAGTCCCAGTCGATAGGAGGCCTCTCCTTCAATCTGTTTGTCTTCAGCTGAAACACACATCAGAAACATCAAAGTCCCAACTGGTTCATGGTCTAACAGAAGCAAATTCATACTTGTACTACAAAAGACACCAAGGATTTTAGAGAGTAAAATAGTGACCTCTAGTGGACAGTTGTGGAAGTGTAATCATGACTAAAACCACACTACAACATAATTTACTGTACTCAAACGCTCCGAACCTAAATGTTGTGGCTGAGTTAATTATAACATTTTAAGTGTTGAGCGAGTACATCAGTATCTGTTGAATAAAAAATTGTATATTTATGAGGACAGATATTGACACATTTTACTAGTTTAAGAACTCATTCCCAGCCAGATTAAATTTTTTTGATTGTTGGGTTAATTTTGCACATATTAAGCCAATAATTGACTTTTTAAAGTCTTCACAATGAATAAAGGTGAAATGAAGAGAGCCCTACAGTACATATAAACAGATTACACTTGATGGCGTCTGTACTGGTACAGGAACTGATGATCTGTCTATAAGGTGTGATACCAAAGGGAAGTGGACTAAATGCTCAGCAGATCTCATGGTGCAGAACAGTACTTATCACTGGATGTAGGGTAGTGCTGCGATATAGGAAAACTAGAGTGGATATACCAGTGATGGAGTGTCTGGACAAAATGGCTAAAACTTCCTATGTTGTAAACTGATAGATAGATACATAAAGATTTGTTTATAATGTCATGTTTTGTATATGTATAATTTGAGGTACTGTTTAAATTAACCTGGGGTATAATTTGATAACTTGATGACTGATAACAGGCAGAGAGTAAGATACCTGTGATTGCCTTCTCGAAGCGTCTCCACACAGATGTTCTGCTTTAGACTGTTTGTGAACCTGGAGACGTGAGAGCAGCACACATTATAGGAGCATGAAGAGGAAGATGCAGTGACACTAACATTGAACCTTTATTTATCAGCAGGGGGCGCACTAACCTTTCTTTCTAGTATCAAGATCAGAAACTAAAGGAGCATCCTGTCACATCCACAGCTCCTTACAGGACAAATGATTTAGTTGTTGTACTCTACCTGTACTGAGTATTTCTGTTGTTCCTGTTGCTGCGTTCATCTTCAGCTGTCAGTCAAACTAAAGGAGAGAGAGGCTGCCATAAACACAACAACCATCATCTGAAGTCCTCTTGGATTTCTGCAGCTCGTGTTGTCTGTTAATTTCTAATATCTTTCATTGTTGTGTGCTACTATCTGCTGCTCAAACAGACCTTCTACTCCAGGAGGAAGATCAAACTTTAATGTTCCATAAAATACAATGAAGGCTGCAGGTAAACTGTTCTGTTACAGTCTGAGGTTGCTGAAATTATCTCAACAAACTTCATACATCCATGAAGACTGTGTGATGTGGCTGAAAACTCAAGAAAATACCAGTAAGTGGACCTTGAGTGGGAACTGTTTGGTAGAACTATTTCGATATTATTTTCTCTTTAACTTTTAAACCAACATGCATTATAAATCCTAAAGTGCTGCGGGTTGTCAAACTAGTCAAAAGCTTCAGAAGAAACTTTATATAAACCTTTATTTATACTCAAAACAAAGTTACAAACTGCATTACATGGTTTAAAGCAGGATTAATACATTTTAGTAAATACTAATAAACCTATACAGCTTGAGTAAAACAATAAAAACATTAACAGGTTAAACTAATATAAATATATACAGTGAACAGTTCTGTGTTTAAACAGAAGTGGGAACTTTGATACAATCCATGAAATGAAAGCAGGAATCTTCAGTCACAGCTCATATCTTAGACTGGACACCAACATCATTAAGATCTCCCTTCTTCACTGTGTGTCTGCAGCCTTTTCACTGGCTCAAAGACAACACCTGCTCACATAGACTGAAAACAAAGTCACAATGGATAGATTGTAAACTAGGAAGACAAACAACATCATCATTCTCTGTCAGCGTGATGGTAGAGCAGGAAAAGATGGAGAATATCCTCCAGTGTCACAATGATTTCCTCCTCGTTCTCGGTCACTACAGGAGGTTTTTAGTCCACATCGTTCAACACTGCGTCTCTCTATGTTTTAAAGTGTCTTCAGTGTTATTTCCTGCTCCTGATGGTTCCTCTGTCTGTGATCTCTGAACTCTGTCCAGTTGCTCTCTCTGGTCCTCCTGTTGCTGATTTCCCTCCACTAAGGGCTGGAGTTTCACACTACGGTTCCATATTATGTCTGTGAAGCAAAAGAAACAGGAAAGTGTTGAAGTTGTTGTGTTCATGTGTTTTAGTCTAATCAATGAATGAGTGTTAAAGTGAGAAAACTCCACAAGCAGAACAAAATATGATAATTGAACTGGAATATTTTTAACATCACAGTGACTTTCATAAACAGAACATTTCCAAATGAGAGAAAGCTTTTGAAAGCAACACATTTTCTTTTATTTCCTCCCTTTCCCCCAAATTTCCTGCAGTGAAGATCATTTCAGACTGTTTGCTTAGTTACTGTTGTTATGCCTGTATGTATGTCAATAAAGAGCTCTGACAGTAACTTGGAATAAAAAAGGAAAATAAATATGTGACTTACATATTATCAGGGTGATAATGATGAACAGCACAATAATGCAAACAGGAATAATGATGATGATCCGAATCCGATCAGAAGATGACTGAACTGTGAATAAATCAGATTAAAGATAGAAGAGAGAACAGAATGACATTATTGAATCAAACTAGAGCTCAACAGTGACAATATGTTTAATATATTTAGAGCTCTTTATAACCTGGAACATAGATGTGTGTCTCTCTGGTCTGGTTGATGTCCTTCTGTTGGACTCTACAGGTGAAGTTGTTGCTGTGTCTCTTCTCCACAGTCACTCTGCTGCTTACAGTATAGAGGTCATCAGGACCTCTGACTGTCTCTGTAGGTCCAGCAGAGAGGAGGTTTCCCTCACCGTCCAGCCAGACCACCGCAGGCTCTGGATACCAGCCTTTAGACTCACACTGTAAAACTACTCTTCTACTGTTATTGGAGACAACCTCTATGATGGGAGTGGAGACGACACCTGATGAGAAGAGAGGAGGAATTTCAAACAGTGGATTCAGATCCAACAAATAACTTATAGCACTGTTTTCTTTGTGTCTTATCATGGCTGCTTACTTCTAATATAAAGTTACATTACTGATCTTTGCAGTCAGCAGAAATGTGTAATTCATCATCTTCAGAAAGTCTGACTTACCAACAGTGAGTTGGATGGAAGCTTTCTTCAACATTGATTCAAGGATGCAAAAGTATTTTCCTGCATCAGAGATTTTCACTCTGAAGATTTTCATGGAGACGTTTCCATTCTGCAGTTCATCGTCAAACAGTCTCGTTCTGAGATAATAAGATGGGTTTTGATAATCAAACATCAGTCGTCCATCTCGGTGAACATGGATGTACTTTGGGTCTAAACCAGGTCTGGTCCACTCCACTGTCTCAGAACTGGCACTGATTGGAGGTTCAAGGTAACATGGTAGAATGACATCATCACCAGGCAGGGCTACGATTGGTTGATGTGAACAAATCAACTCTGACTGCTCTGCAACGCAAACTAAAGAACAAACAAGAAACAGTAGTATAGTTATAATACATGTCATCAGTCTGAATGGATTCATTATTACTTTCTAAAAGTAAGAACACATTTAATAAAACTGCATCAAAAACAAAATTCTTGTCACACACACACACACACACACACACACACACACACACACACACACACACACACACACACACACACACACACACACTCAATGTGTTACTGGACTGTTTCTATGTGTAAATTACCTGTTAAACACTGTGTTAGAAGAATGATGAAAACCCTGCAGTCCATCACAGAGCTCTGTCTTTGGACAGCATTGTAGACTCCTGAATATAAAGAAAGACAACAACCTCTAGTGTTGTTGTTTAAAATAAAATAATAAATAAATGTATTTAGTTGAAAATGAGGTTGAACAGGGTAGAAACTCTAGAGTTTATTTTAGTTTCTCTTTGGTTTCAGTGTTTTTGTGATCTGTTGTTCTCACATCCTCATCTAACCTCCTCATGGACAGTAAAGTACAAACCCGCAGTCACATGCTGTTGTCATCACATCGATATACTAGTGGAAACAATTAATACCAGATATTATGTGTGATATACATTTTCTTTTCTTAATCTTTCTGAACATCGTTTTTACTTTAAAAATGGAGTTCAAAGTTTTCGATAAAAGGTTTGTAAAATAAATGATAACAATATAAGAATACAGACTCAGTGTCTACGTAACAGTGTGAGTCCACTTTATATAGACTATAATGATATCACAATAAACAACACAGAGAGTTTGTCCATAAAATAATCTGCACATTGTTATAACAGTCAAATAATGAAATGATGACAAATCCAACATTTAACATTCAAGTTTTACTTTAAAAAGAAACTCTGACTTACAGCGTGATGGATGCAAACTCTCCACTGTGATGTTGTTCTCATCTGACAGCAAATGAGGATGTACAATGACTTTATTAAATTTCAGGCAGTTTCAGTCAATGGTTGAGGTTTTGAGTTCCTCTATTATTTTCTCTAAAGAGTTGCTGAGCAGTCTAGTCAGTATTATTTAACCACAGGATGTAACTGAACATTGAATGAATGACTAATAATCAGGTTGTTAGAGTAGTTTTCATATAAAGTTTAGTCCTGTTCATACTGTGTTTACAGACATTACAACTTCTTCCTGCACAGAAACAAATTTAAAAAGATTGCCTTCTTCCTCATGACTCTTGTAGCTGCATTGATAAACTCAGAGTTCACTGAACCAGTTAACAACCAGCTTTATGAGCAGCAGGGGGCGCACTAACCTTTCTTTCTAATATCAGAGAGCTTAAAGTGAGTGTAAAGGTTTCTGTTTAATAAGGAGTCACCCTGTGTTTTATTACATTGTTAAATGACTTTAAAGGTTCCAGATGTAAAGTCAGATAGTGTCTGAATCACTGACAGTGTTGAAAATGACCACAGTGACATAATAAATGAGAGTATGATCTATTGATAGATAGATTTAATAGTGTCGAGTACAGTAAAGCTTTAATTTGACTTACAGACAGCAGTTAGTGAATTATAAATACAGAAAAGTGCAGAAATAAATACTAAAATGTGAACAGAGGTTAATGCCAAGATCAGTATTTTCATTGTCACTAAAACCAGAAACTGAAGGAGCATCCTGTCACATCCACAGCTCCTTACACATTTTACAAAACAGTTCAGATTCTTTTAAAGTGCTAAAGTGGGAACTTTGATACAATCCATGAAATGAAAGCAGGAATCTTCAGTCACAGCTCATATCTTAGACTGGACACCAACATCATTAAGATCTCCCTTCTTCACTGAGTGTCTGCAGCCTTTTCACTGGCTCAAAGACAACACCTGCTCACATAGACTGAAAACAAAGTCACAATGGATAGATTGTAAACTAGGAAGACAAACAACATCATCATTCTCTGTCAGTGTGATGGTAGAGCAGGAAAAGATGGAGAATATCCTCCAGTGTCACAATGATTTCCTCCTCGTTCTCGGTCACTACAGGAGGTTTTTAGTCCACGTCGTTCAACGCTGCGTCTCTCTGTGTTTTAAAGTGTCTTCAGTGTAACATTTAATTCCTCTGGATCCTCTTTATGCCTGTGAGCCAACAGAATCAGGAAAGTGTTAAAGTGGTTTTGTTCATGTGTTTCTGTTGTTTGAACTGGAATATTTTAACATCACAGTGACTTTCATAAAGAAAACATTTGAGAGAAAGCTTTTGAAAGCAACACATTTTCTTTTATTTCCTCCATTTTCCCCCGAATTTCCTGCAGTGAAGATCATTTCAGACTGTTTGCTTAGTTACTGTTGTTATGCCTGTATGTATGTCAATAAAGAGCTCTGATAGTAACTTGGAATAAAAAAAGGAAAATAAATATGTGACTTACATTTTATCAGCATCATAATAATGAACAGCACAATGATGCAAAGAAGAATGATGATGATGATGATGATGATGATACCACTCCAATCAGAAGACTGAACTGTGAATGAATCAGATGAAAAGATAGAAGAGAGAACAGAATGACATTATTGAATCAAACTAGAGCTCAACAGTGACAATATGTTTAATATATTTAGAGCTCTTTATAACCTGGAACATAGATGTGTGTCTCTCTGGTCTGGTTGATGTCCTTCTGTTGGACTCTACAGGTGAAGTTGTTGCTGTGTCTCTTCTCCACAGTCACTCTGCTGCTGACAGTATAGAGGTCATCAGGACCTCTGACTGTCTCTGTAGGTCCAGCAGAGAGGAGGTTTCCCCTCACCGTCCAGCCAGACCACCTCAGGCTCTGGATACCAGCCTTTAGACTCACACTGTAAAACTACTCAAGTACTGTTATTGGAGACAGCCTCTATGATGGGAGTGGAGACGACACCTGATGAGAAGAGAGGAGGAATTTCAAACAGTGGATTCAGATCCAACAAATAACTTACAGCACTGTTTTCTTTGTGTCTTATCATGGCTGCTTACTTCTAATATAAAGTTACATTACTGATCTTTGCAGTCAGCAGAAATGTGTAATTCATCATCTTCAGAAAGTCTGACTTACCAACAGTGAGTTGGATGGAAGCTTTCTTCAACATTGGTTCAAGGATACAAAAGTATTTTCCTGCATCAGAGATTTTCACTCTGAAGATTTTCATGGAGACGTTTCCATTCTGCAGTTCATCCACAAACAGTCTCGTTCGGTAAAAATAAGATGGATTTTGAATTCGATACACAGGTTGTCCATCTCGGTGAAAATGGATGTACTTTGGGTCTAATCCAAGTCTGGTCCACACCACTGTCTCAGAACTGGCACTGATTGGAGGTTTAAGGTAACATGGTAGAATGACATCATCACCAGCCAGGGCTACGATTGGTTGATGTGAACAAATCAACTCTGACTGCTCTGCAACGCAAACTAAAGAACAAACAAGAAACAGTAGTATAGTTATAATACATGTCATCAGACTGAATGGATTCATTTTTACTTTCTAAAAGTAAGAACACATTTAATAAAACTGCATCAAAACAACAAAAACACTCAAAATACAGAAATAATAGACAAATCTCTTTTTCTAATTCTCTCTTCTTCCTCTTAAAATGAAGTTTTTTGTGTGTTGCTCATGGTGGGAACTGTTGTGTCTCTAAATAACTTCATAAGGAGACTAAAGAGCCTCACAGAGCTGGCAGTGTGCTGGAGTCTCACATTGTAAAATCATATAAGAAAGTTGTGTTATTGTCAATAAAGTAATGCATTAGGAAATTACAGTGTCATTGATTTTATTACATCTTCTCACCAAGTTGTTACAGAAATAGATAGATAGGAGGGACTGGAAGGTTTTGTCTTGGTCAGAAACTGAGTTGGTCTTCTGCTTTCCAACACACACTCACACACACATACACACACACACACACACACACACACACACACACACACACACACACACACACACACACAGAATAATGTGTTACTGTTTTGTGTGTAAATTACCTGTCAAATACTGTATTAGAAGAATAATGAAAAACACAACTATGTAGTTCCTGAATGACAGTCCATGTTGCTCTATCTTTGGATACAGCATTGTAGACTCCTGGAAATAAAAAGCACAAAACCTTTAGTCTGCTTGTTTAAAAAAAAACAAACCAAACAAATAGGTTGAACAGGGGAGAAACTCAAGTTAATTTTAGTTTTTCTTGTCTCATAGCTCAGAGAGCGCTTTGGCTCGGGTACGAGACTCTTTTCTTGCAAGAGTTAAAGTCA